TTCAGATTTGCTTTGGTTTACAAATGTGCTCTGCAAATGACAGCGACTGGAAGGAAAGCTGTACCAGATGGTTGGACAATCTGCTCTGTGCTTGATTCCAAATCTTAAGTGTCCTTCTGATATTATGTTGTCGTCAAAGTGTGACTCAAGACTTCCTGATGCTTGGGGTGTAAAGACCAAACAACACCCAACCTCAAGTAATCTGGGGGGGGGGGGTCATCTGTTGGGAAGTTCTTCCACCCAATATGCTCCTGAATACTCTCAATTTGAGGGTTGCTAGTTCAGGATTGTTCCAGGCCTCGTGTTATGCGTGAAGGACCAATTGCTCACAGTTTGTCATTAAAACACACACAGATGCAACCTATTTTTCTATTCTTGAAATTAAGACAGAAATCATTGCTTCCAGAATAAAGAAACAGGTAGGTTACTCCTCTTCACTTTCTTTGGATGATGTGATAACAACACCTAACCTTGCCCAGAGATGCCTGGATGTTTTACCATTCTGTGGGAGGCTTCTCTCATATCTCTACATAAGAAGTTGGAGCTGACAGACGGGAGTTCACCCCACTCCCTAGATTTGAACCGCCGACCTTTCAGTCAGAAGTCCTGCTGGCACAAGGGTTTAACCCACTGAGCCACTGCCATTAGACCTTAAGAATTTTTAATAGGGTGTCCAATTTTCCAGAAGACAGCATGCCTAGATCTAGGTTTGCCTGGTTTGATACAGAATGGGGACCCTGTAAATTTCAACCACAGTTGTCTCTTCCCAACATGGGCATTTCTTCCCTGGTGAAAGGGGTTTCTAGGAGCACCCAGCACCATTCTTGTCTCTCACAATCTATCCCTAGGCTGTAGCAATGTTGGAAGGGGACAACAATGGCTGATCGTTCTAGTTTGGAAGACAAGAAAAGACAAGTACCACCATCCTGCTTGGTGGAACTTTGTAGTATCTGGTCCTACTCAGGTTGCTCACCAAAGCGGTGTACAGGGAGTATACCTCCCCTGTTATGTCAGCTCCACTGGCTGCCAGCCTGCTACCGAGCACAATTCAAAGTGCTGGCTTTAGCCTATAAAGCCCTAAATGGTTCCGGCCCAGTTTACCTGTCTGAACGTATTTTCTGTTATGAACTACCTCGGAGATTAAGATCATCTGGGGAGGCCCTACTCTCAGTCCCACCTTCTTTGCAAGCACAACTGGTGGAGACAAGAGGCAGGTCCTTCTCAATGGTGGCCCCTCGGCTGTGGAACATTAGATCAGTCCCCTCCTCCTAGTTTTCAGAAGGAGAGTAAAAACCTGACTCTGGGATCAGGCTTTTGGAGAATAATGCAGTGCAGTAATATAATTGGAATATGTGCAATGACTAAAGAACAGCCTTAGACTATGATTTTTGGATGGCATGATTTTAATATTTAATGTAATTTTAAAATGTTTAGTATGTATTAATTTTAATTCAATTGATTTTAAGCGTAATGCTTGTATGTGCTTAAGTCACTGAATAATTGCAAGCCGCCTTGAGTCCCCCTTTGGGTAGAGAAAGGCAGGGTATAAATAGGGCAAATAAATAAAGAAATAAATAAAAATTGATGGGTAAACATATGCATAGCCAGAACAAATCACTTTCTTGCAGCTTTACCTGTGAAAATGATATAGGAACAACCTGCTCCATGACGCCAACCATCCACGGTTAGTAGCTCGCTAATCTACCAAATGTGCAATTCACAGTTGACTACGACAGGAATTTATAAGTTGCTTACCTGTAAATGTAGTTTCCTGAGTAGTCACCTGTGAATTCGCACATCCCCGCCCGTTCTCCCCTCGAGTGTCATGCCCCGCCTTCTGGCTGCTTTGCGGCGGAAGAGAACTGGTGGCTAGCCCCGCCCATGGGCTATATATACTCGCGGAGGGGACAGGGCTAGGCAGGGGTAAAATGGATATTTTTTATCTTCCAGAAGGGCCTCAGAGGAGGCGAAGCCAGGTAAGGTTAGCCCGTCAGAGGAGGGAGCCTGCCCTTGGGTGATTGCGGGCAGAAGGGCCCTCTCATAGAGAGCCGCTTTAAGCCGAGACTCTCTATTTTTCCTCATCTGAGGGGTAAAGGACATACAAACAACACAGGATTGGGTGAGATGTCCTTCCCCCAAGCAAGCCAAACATAAAGAATGCCCATCCTTGTCAGGCAATGTGTTGGGGCAATTGCTGCATTTTTTAAAAGCTGTGGTCGCCATGTTTGAAGGGGGAAGCAAAAGAGTAGTCAAAGGTCAGTCCAGTCAACGTTATAGAGTACCTCAAGTCGATAACACACTCCAGTCAAGTCCAAAGCAGTTAGTGAGCTCGCAAAGTGACAGAAAGGTTCTCCAGCTGCTTGCTAAGTGGCGGAAAAAAGAGAACTAGTGGCTAGCCACGCCCATGGGCTATATATACTCGGGGAGGGGGCGGGGCTAGGCAGAGGTAAAATGTCTATTTTTTATCTTCCAGAAGGTTCCGAAAGCTGTACTGTGCAGGCGCAGAGATACCAAATGTGCGATTCACAGTTGACTACGACAGGAAACAAATCACTTTCTTGCAGCTTTACCTGTGAAAATGATATAGGAACAGCCTACTCCATGTTACTGTTGGTAGTGCAGGATGAGCAATGCATTACTCAGATGTTAACAATTGACTGATGTTAGCCTTATTAGAAAGATAAATTCAGACTTGGAAGAAAAAAAAAACCCAAGAAATGGATCTTACCTCTAAACCTTCAGTTCACAGAAGCAGTACCCAGCAAGGGCTCTCTTTCCATTTCTCTTTGATGCAGGGAAGCCATCAAAGCTGGCTTCAGAAACTGGGATAGAAACACAGGAAGTCTTATACTGAGTAAGAGCAAGGAGGCTGGGCCACACTGACTGGCAGCAATGGCTCTCAAATTTCCAGGATGATTCTTTCCTAGTCCTACCTAGAGATCCTTACTCTACATGCAAGTACAACCAAGCCCAAATCTGCTTAGCTTCTGAAATCAGACATCATCATAATCAGAAACTTAACATCATAATGCAGCAGAAACTTAGCATCCAATCAAGAGCTTTTTATTACTTGACATGAAATAGTCATTTTGTATGGAGATTTTACACATGTAAATTATGTTTCTAACTTTGAGGATTTACTGCAGAATAACTTCTGGATAGCTATTTAAAAATGAGTACTTTTGGGGACAGTGTTGTTGTTGTTGTTATTATATGCCTTTGTCCCATTTCCAACTTATGGTGACTCTATTATGGAGTTTTCTCGGCAAGAATTGTTCAGGGGTGATTGACCTTTGTCTTTTGAGGTTGAGAGAATGTGATTTGCCTGAGGTCAGCAATGGGTTTCTATGGCTGAGTGAGAAGTTGAACCCTGGTTTCTAGCGTCGTAATCCATCAGTCATACCATATCATTCTGGTTCTTTGAAACGGCCTCTCAGTGCTAATTCCTTTATGTAACTGGAAACATCTAGTGGTAGAAAGACAGAGTTAAAAGAACTGTATTCCCCAAATATGTAAGAACTGTTCTTTAAGAAAGGCATTCTTATTGCAATACCAAGGACACGGAAATTGTCATGAAGTAACTCACTATGTAAGAAATCACAACCCACTTGTCAATCATGAGTGAGTTTGAAGTTTTTTTTTTGTTTTTTTTACTAAAACACTTAGGTTTCTACTGGCCAGAATGGATGAGGGATTAAGGAAATCCTGTCTCCACAGAACAACTGACTGGTTCAAGATTGGGAAAAGAGTACAACAGGGCGGTATACTCTCACCCTACCTATTCAACTTGTATGCAGAACACCATGCCACGTGCAGGGCTTGATGAATCCAAGGCTGACGTTAAAATTGCTGGACAAAACCTTAGATATGCAGATGATCCCACTTTGATGGCTGAAAGCGAGGAGCCGAGGAGCCTTCTAACCAAGGTGAAAGATGAAAGAGCAAAAGCTGGGCTGCAGTTAAACATCAAACAAACCAAGATTATGGCAACCGGACTAATGGATAACTTGCAAACAGAGGGAGAAATGTGGACACAGAAACAGACTTTGTATTTTTAGGCACGAAGATTACTGTAGACGCAGACTGCTGCCAGGAAATCAGAAGATGTTTCCTTTTTGAGAGGAGAGCAATGACCAATCTTGATAAAATAGTGAAGAGTAGAGACGTCACACTGACAACGAAGGTTTGCATAGTTAAAGTGATGGTATTCCCCACAGTAACCTATGGATATGACAGCTCACCATAAGGAAGGCTGAGCGAAGGAGGAGAGACGCTTCTGGACTGTGGTGTTGGAGGAGAGTGCCTTGGACCGCAAGAAGATCAAACCAGTCCCGGAAATAATGCTCGACCGCTCAGTGGAGGGAAGGATATTAGAGGCAAAGACGAAATCCTTTGGTCACATAATGAGAAAACAGGAAAACTTGGAGAAGATAGGAAAGCTTAGGGATGCTGGGGAAAATAGAAGGAAAAAGGAAGAGGGGCCGACCAAGGGCAAGATGGATGGATGGTATCCTTGAAGTGACTGGACTGACCTTGAAGGAGCTGGTGGTAGCCACAGCCGAGAGGGAGCTCTGATGTGGGTTGGTCCACGAAGCCACAAAGAGTTGGAAGCGACTCAACAAATCTCCAAAAGGTTACTTTCCCAAGCTTTCAAATACAATCTACTTGACTGCTTCTCAGTAATTTATTTCCTGGTATGTCAGAGAACAGAATTATATTTATGTCCATTGGATACAACTATTTCTTTCCTGGAAACGTGACAGCCAGTGGTCCAGGGACTGGCAGAAATCCATGAAACACCACTTTAAGTGACATTACTGTACATTGACTAGGCTGTAGTGAAAGCCACGTGGGCTGTTGTGAGGTTATACTTGGAGGGTACTGGGAGTGGGAATGATCTTCCAAGAGTGAGATAATACATTCAATAAAAATAATGAATTATAAGAAAACGATGAATCTCCCATTTTATCAGTCAACCTGTTAGCAAAACTATAAGATAGTCAGTTACAATATCTTTAATGTTAGTTTCAAAATGTTACCTTCAAAAGCTTTACAAATGGAATATGCATGAATGACAAAAACATTTAGATTACACCCATTCGCCCATCAACTATCACTCCACTGAAATACCACAGAAGAAATTATGGGAGGGGGGAGATCTTTTGGAGGCAGTGGACCCTTCCTCCAAACATAGGAATGAAATCTTTAAAAACAGGAATGATTAATTTGAACAGAAGTAGTTACACAACTGAGACATTAGATGGGTCATCCCGCAATAGGCAACTCTTGCAACGCAGAGCAATTACCATCCTCTGTTCTTTCTGCTACTAACTCCATAGACATGGTGAAAGTCAGATTCAGGGCAAAATAGGACCTTCAGAGCCAATTTCAGGTTGGAAGACCCATAAAGAGAACTAGAAAAAATGTCATTAACATGTTATTGAGAAAAGGTCTGGGACATGTAGCAATTCAAGTTCCATTCTCCCGTATGTCAAGTAAGCTACTCAATAATGCCCAATGCATACAGAGCCACATATTCTTCAGTTTTCTTGTGGCAGTGACCTACAGCTCTTGCAACGGTGTGTACACAGCTAATAAAATCTATTGTTCACATGTCCTCAATTTCTGATGCTTCTCAACTCAGCATTCTCAGCTTTGGCCCAACATATTCCATCATTCCAACATAGTACAGGCATTACTAATCGTGCCACTTGAAGGAAAGCAGGAATTTTCTAATAAATGAATTCAGCATATATGCGCTGAACAGAATCTCTACAGTTTTCATGGGGAAATATCTGCTAGGTTTAGTAGTAATTATGTTACCTGGTGAGAGGTCTAGGTTTTATGATATACACAGATGGGATCTTCTATCTATACACAGCCAGGTGGAATGAAATTGGAGCCACATACTTAATTCCTGAGTGCATTCTATCATTCACTTTCCCTGTTTGAAAAGTCTACAGTGTTCTCCAATGTCCCTCTTAAGTGATTCAGTTCACAAAGCCTTCGCTCATGGATACATTCACACAAGCCTAACTAACAATGTTTTCTACCCATAACCTTGCATCCCATGATAACATACAGCTACTGACCTAACTTAGTGGTATCCTCTTATCATGTCAGCCAGTTGCAATACCCCAGAAGTCTTGGGTACCTGAATCTTTCCAAAAACTTGCTTGTATTCAAGTACGTATCAATAAGTTATATAAATCAGGCCAGCTCCAAGCAAAATATCCTCAGATTATGATGGCTGGGAAATTTTCTTTGATACTTATTTAAACAGTACAAAAGTACCATCAAAAGTACAAATTCAGCTATCTAACAGTGAGATACAACCAGAGAAAATTATATCAAGGGCACCAACATGACAGCCTAATTGGAAGCACCCTTATTTTGTGAGAGACATTAAACCTTGTAAAATCATATGATTTCCTTCAGAGCAAAAGAGAACCTGAGAACCAGTGATAACCCAAACTTTTTAAAAATTATATTAACTGCACTTTTTCCACAATAAAGGAATAGATATCTACCACCAATATACATATATATTTCGATTCTGGACCTCACTTCTATGAGCAGGAAAAAGCAGGAAGCAATGTTGATGCTTTTCAGATGTTGCAAGACAAGAGGAGCATCTCTGGGTGGGAACCAATTCTGATTACTCACTTTCAAAACTGCAAGACGTATTCTGTACATTTGCATGGAGCCAAATGTGGAAAATAGAAATGAGTGTCTCTGATGAGTATGAAAAGTGTCCTACATCTTACAAAGGTTTTTAATACAAATCTGTGGAATTAACAGGGAGAATTCAAATGGTTCCTAGGGAAATAAAGCATCTGAACCAGCCAAATGGCATTGGCTCAATTCCTTCCAGTTCAGGAGATTGAGGACGACTCCGGGACTCACTCTTCTCCTACAGGGAGATTGTCTTCAATCCGCCTTATAAATTTCATTCTTATTTCTGTCACTCCGTCTCCTTTCAGTGTGTCCTGGACAAATTTGACATCCACAGCCATCTGAACCTAAAATGGGAGAAAAGGCGCACTTGTGTTTTCTTGAGTTATTTAAGACAATCCCCAAAATCACTTTACGTCAGTGGTTCTCAACCTGTGGGTCCCCAGATGTTTTGGTCTTCAACTCCCAGAAATCCTAATAGCTGTAAAATGGCTGAGATTTCTGGGAGTTGTAGGCCAAAACACCTGGGGACCCACAGGTTGAGAACCACTGCTTTAGGTCTATCTTGCTGACAAGGAAAGAGAACAAAACATTTTCTCCTCCAAGTATTCCGTCAAAGATCACTTGTTATTTCCCTTATTCTATACTTTTTCCCTAGCGTCACCTAAGAAATAATAATTTTATTTCTTACTCACCCCTTTTTATGGATCGAGGCAAGTTACAACATAGCTAAAAACACAATCATAGAATCATATAGTTAAAAAAGACCTCATTGGCCATCCAGTCCAACTCCCTACCAAGAAGCAGGAAAATCGCATTCAAAGCACTCCCAAAAGATGGCCATCTAGCCTCTGTTTAAAAGCCTCCAAAGAAGGAGCCTCTGCTAAACAGCTCTCACAGTTAGGAAGTTCTTCCTAATGTTCAGGGGGAATCTTTCCTGTGGTCCGAAGCCATTGTTCCACGTCCTAGTCTCCAGGGCAGCAGAAAACAAGGTGGCACCCTCCTCCCTATGATTTCTCCTTCATCTTGATACATGGCCCTCGTCATGTCTCCTCTCAGCCTTCTCTTCTGCAGGCTATACATGCCCAGCTCTTTAAGCTGCTCCTCATAGGTCCTGTTCTCCAGACCCTTGATCATTTTAGTTACCCTCCCCTAGACCCATTCCAGCTTGTCACCATTTCCCCTAGATTGCGGTGCCAAGAATTGGACACAGTATTACAGGTGTGGTCTGACCAAGGCAGACTAGAGGGGTAGCATGACTTCCTTGGATCTAGACACTATACCCCTATTTATACAGGCTAAAATTCCATTGATCATTCTAAACATCCTATAAACTACACATATTAAAATGGATTTCTACAAAATACACATTAAAATACACAGAACAAAAATTAAAACACAACACGCAAATTTAAAATCCATGATTAACAACTGACAGTAGGCCTGCCGGAAGAGATAGGCCTTCAGATGTGTTTTAAATTCCAACATCTCATTTAGCTGTCGGATTTCTTCCGGCAAGCTGTTCCAGTCTTGGGACAGCCGATGAAAAGGTCCCCTGGGTGACAGTTGCCAATTGGGTTCTGGCAGGTTGGAGTAGCCGCCCCCCAGAGGACCTCAGTGTATGGGGCAGATTGTATGGGAGAAGGTGATCCTGTAGATAACCTGGACCAAAACCATGTAAGGCTTTAAAGGTCAAACCCAATTTTTGTACTTGTCATTTTGTACTTTGCCAGTGGAGTGACTTTAGCATGTGTGTAATATTCTCACTCCTGAATATTCTTGTAACCAATCTGGCTGCCATATTTTGAACTAGATTGATACAGGTTGATCATTCCTTATTGGGAATTTCAGAACAAATATGTCAAAATATGGAATTGTCTAAATGCTCATCTCCATTTTTAAGCCAAAGAGCTGGTGTTATCACTGGGAGCTCCATCTCTAAGATATCTCATATATATGCAAATTCGGGTATTCCAAAATCTGAAAAAAATGAAATCCAAAGTACATCTGGTCTTATTAAAAAAAACCCAATTTGGAATAAGGGATACTCAATCTGTAGAACAATATTTTTACAATGCCAGAACCATATATTACCTTGTAGGAAAATAGCAGACCACTGGCAGCTCTCCAAATGGAATATTATTACAGAGTGAACTGAATGTCTTCCTCACAACCTTTCTCTTCTGGTTCAATGCAGCAGAAACTTAGCATCCAATCAACTCCATTAACTCAGAAAATGCTGAACTACCTACAAAGGCCTTATTTCCAACATATCTGACAATTATTTGCAAGAAGAAAATATGGTATTATATTAATAGCCCTCCTTTGCTCAAACGGTGCTCCGCAGAGTTCTTAGCACTCTGAGAAGCAGTCAGGGACTCTGCAGGGGACCCCACTCCGCCCTGCCTATGAAGGTTTGGCCTTAGAAGCCCTGCTCCACCTCTACTACTTATCATTAAGCAGAGGCTGGATGGCCACCTGTAAAGAGTGCTTTGATTGTGCTTTTCCTGCATGGCAGAATGGGGTAAGACTAGTTGGCCTCTGGGCTTGCTCTTGTTGTTGTTGATATTATTATTGTTGTTGTTATTTATCATTAATCAAAGGCTGAATGGCCATCTGTTGGGGTGCTTTGACTGTGCTTTTACTGCATGGGAGTAGGGGATTGGACTGGATGGCCCCTGAGATCTTCTACTGAAATACTGTTAAGTTTATGTTGGTTAAAATTGTTCTTCATTTTAAATATTGTTATTGTTCTTTCATTCATTCATTCATTCATTCATTTGTTCATTATTTCTTTCTTTTTACACTACAAACTAATATGTGCAGTGTTCATAGGAATTCTTTCTTTTTTCTCTCCAAATAGTTCACACAAACATTCTCCATCCATCTGCCACTGGCCTGGCCCATATGTCAAATTTTAAAATGCAATGCGGCCCCTGTGTCCAAAGGTTTCTCATTGGGGCTCCACAAGAAACGTTTCCTTTTAAAGGAAGAGGCTTTAAAAGTTTGAGAACCCCTACTCTAATGAGTTATTCCCTCCTATTGTTTTTCCACCTCAACAACTCAGTGTGGTAGACTTGATATGCAAAAAAGTGATAGTAACAAGCTTTGTACCCTTTCATGAGTCACCATATGATTTGTATATTTAGCAAATAATATGTAAATGAGGCTGCCTTGATTTGGAGAAGTAGAATATGGCAACCCAGAGGGTATGACAGGGAAAAGGGAAAGAGCGATTCCTAGTGTTTTATAGACATGAGAACTGAGAGCTGTAGTCTTCAAATCAAAAACTGTTTACAAAGGTCTGATCTACAATTTATACAGCTTTACATTTCAACCATTTTTTCAGACATTTCAGAGAAAAGACATGTGCCATTGATTTAACTGGAATGTCATTCTTCTCACCATTTCCAAGGCTCCCCGTAGCACTCCACACAAGAGGTTAGAATAAATAAGAGATGAATGACTGTCAGGCAGCTCCACAAAGTCCACCAGTGGGTTGTTTTCTAGGATGAGGGAGAATTCGTCGCCTGCCGGACTCCAGTTTGTGATGCTTGGTGTGATACCCAAGTACATTTTAAACGCCACCTGCCATGCAAGACAAACAGAATTCAAGGGCTCGGCTCCAATAGTACAACATTTAGCAAGCTATTATGTCCTATGGATCACTAGGCAGCTGGCCAAAATGAAAAGCTACTGAAGCAAACTCTTCTCTAGTCATTAACTAGACAGACCTCAAGAAGCAGGAAGCAATTCACTATGCAAAATACAATGCCTTCTCCCCTAGAAAACACCCAAGTTGGTGTCTTGCTTTTCAGTTTTGATTGTAATTTTAGCCTTCTCTCCCTGATCCTGCTTTGTTATTGACAGACCAGAAGTAACATTCACACATTAGTATTATAATAAGCAATCATGTTCCTGCTAGTTTCAGGGCTAAATCATACAATGCATAATTGATTCCACTATTAACTTTGCCTCTGAGGTCAGGTTTACTACAACAGTTACAATGATCAGGTTTCCTCACCCTACCATCTGCTAATCCTTATATTCTACCTGAAACGGGCAAGGTAGACATTAGGAAGAGAACTTTTCACATTTAAGATGGTAAAATCTGGAATGTTTTAAAGTTATCTAAGTGTATTTAAGTCTCAGTAGAGAAGGCAAAAGAGCAGTCTTCAATACTTTGCCTTAAAATTTCTATTCAATCATTTTAGATTTTAGAATTCAATATTTCATAATGCAATTTTTCAAGAGTTTTTACTCTGAGAAGAAAAATACAGTTATCTGTCACATTTCTTTACCAAATTTTCACATTGTTATGTTGGCTTGCACCAATCGTGACCTTGCAATGAAATGACTCACACAAAACAAAAACATATCTTCAAAAGCTGTTTTATCCCTATAATATGAAGCTGACATGGACAGCAATAGTCGTAGTGGAGGTAATCATATATGGGAAAATAGTCATAATTGTAATAAGAATAAGTGATATTGGTGGTGATAATATACTGGAAGCACAGTGAGACCACATATATAATCAAAGCCAAATGTCACCTTTGCAATGACATCTGCAGTTTCTCGAAAGTCGTGACACCTTCCTACGTTGGATCGGGCCAGGAAGTCTTCAACAAGTCGAACGCCTATGTTGTAGCCCCTGTCAAGGCAGACAAACAGCAATATACTATAAAACTATGGCATCTCAAAAGAGACCCTCCTACATGAGGAAAATATTATATGGGCTAAAAACCCTATTCCCCTCTTTTAAAAACAACTCTACAAATTCAGGTTTCTTCACCAAAGAAAGAAAAAACCTGAGCATTCTACTGCTAGTGATGTTAAGGAAGCCCCCCACGCCACCCCCACCTCTATACTTACATTTTGTCAAGCTGTTTATTGACATCTTCATCATTCTCATAGTCTTTACACAGCTGAGTGACCAGGGCACCATAGGTCAGAGTGAAGAGCTCCGAGCTCTAGACAAATTCAAAACACATTTAGTAAAAGCAAAACAGGATGGTTTGCAAATATTTAGAGATGTTTTTCAGGGAGAAAATGTGGTATTCCTGCATTATGGTCAGATAGCCTCTGGTTCCTCTGATTCTCATTAAGGCTCACCATGCATTGGCGAAATCCACCTTTTGAAATGCTCAGGTTTCTTAGAATAATTAACTGGATTTTTTTCAGCCTTTTTGGGAGTAACCAAGTAACTCTAATTTGTATTAGGTTCTTATTTCCTATGTCCTGATTTTAACCCCGCACTCATGGGGATGTTTGCCACCTCCACATCCATCCTCACAATTACAAACTGAAAAGCTATCAAATACACAAATCAACCACTTACCATACTGTCTAGAAAGGAAAGCGATTTCCTTACTTCAGGTGTGCAACCTGATGTTTATGGCTTCTATGCCATAAACAGCAGAATTTTCTCACATTACTAGATATGGTGGTATTGACCCACAGACACATGCATGAATCTTTCTGAATAGATCTCAATATTCAAAGGCAAATCTACTCCAAATCACTAGGAAATTTTGTTTGATCAGCATAGCACACAATCCAACATCAAAGTTTCATACATCCTTTGGACTTCATTTATTTCATTCTTTTCAATGAGTAAATAAAATCTTCCATCTTCAAAATCTTTAAATTCAACTTTTCATTTTATTTATGTATAATAAGAATACAGTGTGCTTTGCATAGCACACTATGTTGTTAAAATGCCTACTGATAAGAATGTAAGTTTCACAGTCTCTAACTTCTCATCAAGAAAGGTTTTTCCACCTTCCTCATTCAGCATAATGTTATGTTTAAGAGCACAAAAGGAAGAGACATGCCAAATCTTTCTTTGCATTAGTAGAAATGTATGTAGCATTAATTAAATAAAAGATAGAATGAACTGTTTGTCTTCATCACATTCTTCAAACTAGAAGCAAGTGAAATATACTCCATTGGCTATCAGAACTGAAGTTATACAAATATTATCCTGTTAAAAGGTGAAACCTAACATGATTTTAAAAGGTTTTTCTATGAGAATAATGCCAGCCACATAAACTGAATATGCCTTGCTCAAGCTTTTATTAAAGTTTCATTTTAAATAGCAGAAATGTCTAGTCTTGGATTAAGAAGCCTATCACCTACCATGAGATGCATGGATGCAGAAGGTGAAATGAATGGCAAATACCAATACTACAGAATGAAAGCAGCAGGCAAGCAGAAAGGGGGAGAAAAAAAGACATCAGAGTTTAGTGAGACAAGACAGATTACATGAAGTTCTCACAAGCTCACACAAAGCCAAAGTGCAGAAGGGAGAGTCAAGTTATATTTGGAATTACATTTATTAAATGCATTACAGCATGCCATTTCTATCCAGTGGCAGCCAGTGAGGATTATACTTCCGACATGTACCGTATCTCAAAAATACTAAAGAAGTGCTGGTTTTGCTACTTTTAAAATAACTTGAAGAAACCAACTGTCTTCCAATTACGCACTCCATTCAGAAATTAGATCAGTCTGTGCTACAGAGTCACTTGATATTTTAAAAATCTGAACTAGTATGCAAATATAGAAAGAACGTAATAGTTAAACAGAATTAACAGGTTAGGAAATAATTATATAATCTGAGTAAATTATCTGACAATAGATAGAACAGAGAACTCCCATCTGCTTCTAGGGCGAGATACAATTGTAAATTGCTTTTAAGTCCAATTCACCTATCATTAGATATCAGAGAGGCAGATTGAATGTATGCACATACCAGTTCACTGTCTTTGAATATTTTTAATCCTATTATAAAAAGTGATGGAAGATAATTAAATTAACTTTAATTTTAAATCAGATGTACTTGATAAAATATCAGATTGCCTAATGCTGAAATGGTATCAGACTATCAAGATACAGCAAACAATAGGAAAACACAACAAAAATAGCCATTTACGCATGCTTCAGAGACTAGTGTCATTCTCATAGTACCATAATCCTATTACTATTGCAGAAAATAAAACACTCAAGACACTTCTTAAATATGCATAGGATTTGTCAACAGATGAATATATAAACATCAAAGGGCAAAAGGCACCTCAGTGGAAGTCTAGAATGTTAAACATGCCTCTTACAAATGATGTGCTATACTTTTGCTCCTATTTTGAACCAACAACAGTTGACTGGGCTAAGAGAAGCTCACTTTGAGTAAATAGTAACTAATCTCTTCTTTTCCAACTTTAAAACTAAAGTGGTTGAGTTCAGTATTCTTTTTGTTTTTTGTATGATTAGACCATGTTGAAAAAATACATTGAACAAAAAATTAAGTTAAGCATGCTCTAGTGATGTTTTATTTTTATTTTTAAAAATATCACAATTTAGAAGTTTGTAGAACTCTCCTCCACATATTCACTGTATCTGGACTGATGAAAGAAAACTACAACCTAAAGAATGTGACAAAAGCAGATTCTAAAGGAGAAAATACAGCAAACAGCATAACATCATTCCTATAAGCTTAAATCAGAGGTGCCCATAGATATTTTTTACTCTACTTTTGGAGTACAACAATAATAAAATAAAGAGTCTAGGTACTGTGCAGAACTGATAACTTAATTGCATTTGGGGCCCTTTTTTGTAGTCCCTAAAAAATTAGGCCCAGATTAGGCTATTCACAACTGCAAGTGACTGGAAAGAAGTCACGCCCAGCTCTGAAAAGTGAGGTGCACAAATATCCAAATGCAAAATAGACAGCAATATCTCCCAAGATGTGAGTGGAGGGTTTTTACTTGTTGATTGTGTCTCCAAGAAGGTGGGGGAAATCTACCTGGGAGATGAAGATTTGAAGGGCCTCCGAGTACTGCAGGGGGAGGACAACTGCAGTCTTCAGCTTGTGGCACTTGCCCTCTCTGGCCAAAGCTATGTTTCTATACCATTTCTGTAACTACTACTTACTATCAGGTAGTAAATCTGTTTACGGTATTACTCCACTGTTGATAGGGCACTTAGAAATAAATATGTCAACCACGCAAGAATGCCAAAATTCAATAAAATAGCAGTTAGGCTGGGTGTAAACTCTGGCATTGAAACTCCCATTCAGATTCATCAGACTCTGGGGAGTGTCTTACCTCCAGAGTAAGAATAAAGTAAGCCCAAACTTCATCAAGCAATGGTCTGGCTATAATAACGCAGACCGCATAAATATGCCGAATTTGAGACCTGTCACTTCATTGAAGCCATGAACTGTCACTGTGTTGAAGTCATGAACCACCTTACTAAGTATCCCTTCCCTGCATGTTGGAGTCTCTGTATACCCCCATATACATAGTCCTTGGGATCACACTCAAATAACTTCTGTTCATTCAGGATAAGATATGCAAGACAGTAACAGTATATTAACATTTGCTCAGTATCAGGTAGACACGAAATGCAATAGCCATCTTGAAAGACAAATCTAATATATCAAGATGGGATTGTTATGAGCACTGCAGCTCCTTCAATATCATTGCAAGAGCCCTGTAGGAAGATGATGCTGGTAAAATCTATATATAGCAGTACTGATGGCATTGCTCAAAAAACAGCAATTACCATATATTCATGTATAAGGCAACTTCATGTTTTCAGGCCAGAATTATGAATTTTGATATGACCCATGATAAACTGAGAGTCATTCTGTGGAGAGGGCAAGGCACCAATACTGATGAAGGGGGTCTGCTGTCCCTGGTCGGTGTTGCTATTTCCCTACCTAGGCATTCAAAAAGACCAGATATGGCATGATGATCAAGAGTAGAGGGGTCAGTACTTCTGTTAGTCTCCCATGGCTAACTAAGCTCTTCCTTTGTACCATTCTATCCAGAGAAAGGGACTGTTCCTTTTTTTGAAAAAAGTTAACGTAAAATACTTGCACTGACCCACGGCATTGATTTCCTGACTAAAATTTTTAGACTTATATATAAGGATTTAGCAGTAATGGGCAAACTTCGGCCCTCCAGGTGTTTTGGACTTCAACTCCAACAATATCTCACAGCTTACTGGAAGTCCAAAACACCTAGAGGGTTGAAGTTTGCCCATGCCTAGGATAGAGTATAGCTTATACCCAGGCTTTGTTTGGTGTCTTTTTTTCTATATTAACCTCCGTTCCATGAACTCCAGGCAAGGATGGCAGGAGGTACAGTCCAATATACCGTACCTGAAGACCATCAGGTTGTGGAGCACCAAACTAGATTGCAAGCTCCTTTGCAGTGGTTCCCAACCTTTGGTCCGCCAGGTGTCTGAGGCTTCAGCTCACATAGTTGCTAACAGTTGGTAAGATGGCTTGGATTTCTGGAAGCTGAAGTTCAAAACATCTGGAGGACCAAAGGCTGGGAAACATTGGCCTAAGGACTTGTTTTTCTACTTTTCAAAAAGGATCATGCACAAAAAAGGCATTTAGTAAAATAAAAATTAACACAAAACAAATGACACCCAGTTCTGTGCCCTTTTCTTGTGATAAGGGGAATCATAACAACAATGACAATATGCATTTCCTTTTTAGACACTTGTTGAAACTTTGTATACAGATCTGTCTTAAGTACCCTTCTACTCAATTATTTCCGTTGTTCTTCCTTTGTTTCTCATTCTTAAAGTAGAATTGTTAGACTGTTGCAGCAAAAAATAAGACAAGCCCTGCAGCTTCTAAAACTAATGTGCTGCAGTTTATGAAAGCTTGTGTCCAATCAAAACTTAATAGTTTTGAAATAATCAAAATACTCCTTCATAGGAAACATTTAAAATGTTTCCGATAAATGTTTGTCTTATTGTTGATACGTTCAATACACCTGCCTTTATTCTAATGTTTAAAAGCCAGATCATTTTACAAACTGCCATAGAATGAAAAATGGTGGAATTTCATGGTTATGCTCCATTATGGCCCTGCTCAATCTAAGTCTGTTTTCCCCATTAGAAATGCAGGCACTATTACAGATACCATACATTACATTCTTGTTTTAATTGTTCATTGTATCTCCAGCCCAAAAATAAGGCAGCATTCCACATCACCACCCATCAAACCACAGGAACCAGATAAAACTACTATGGCTCTAATTCTATCACATGCAAATTGTTGATATTTTTTATTTTTCTCATACAACAATCAAAGACAATCTGGGCAGTTCACATAAGGCCAGGAAAAAAAGATTTTTCTCAAATTTCTCAAAGACCAAAAAACACCATATTGATTTTATGTGTGTCGGGGGGGGGGGGGGGGGGTCTAGTAACTTTTAGTACTGATGCTAAAAAAGAATAGAGAATATGTGGTCATTTTAAATAGAAGTAACGACTGCTCATTGGAGGGAAGGATACTAGAGACAAAGTTGAAGTACTTTCGCCACATCATGAGGAGACAGGAAAGCCTAGAGAAGACAATTATGCTGGGGAAAGTGGAAGGTAAAAGGAATAGGGGCCGACCAAGGGCAAGATGGACGGATGGCATCTTTGAAGTGACTGGATTGACCTTGAAGGAGCTGGGGATGGTGACGGCCGACAGGGAGCTCTGGCGTGGGCTGGTCCATGAGGTCACGAAGAGTCGGAGACGACTGAACGAATGAACAACAACAAGAATATCTATATGCACATATACAGGTTGAGCAACACTTATTGGAGGGGTTGGGGGGGGGGGATTGACCTTCCTTTCTGAGAAGTAAGTGCAAAACTGGGTTGCAGCTAAACATAAAAAAACCTAAGATTATGGCAACAAGAATGATTGACAACTGGGAAATAGAGGGAGAAACGTGGAGGCACTTACAGACTTTGTATTTCTAGGTGCAAAGATTACTGCAGACGCAGACTGCAGCCAGGAAATCAGGAGACGCTTACTTCTTGGGAGGAGGGCAATGACTAATCTTGATAAAATAGTGAAGAGGACAGAGATCACACTGGCAACAAAGATCCGCATAGTTAAAGCAATGGTATTCCCCGTAGTCACCTACAGATGTGAGAGCTGGACCATAGGGAAGGCTGAGTGAAGGAAGATAGATGCTTTTGAACTGTGGTGCTGGAGGAAAGTTCTGAGAGTGCCTTGGACAGCGAGAAGATTCAACCAGTCCATACTTCAGGAAATAAAGCCCATTGGAGGGAAGAATAATAGAGGCCAAGATGAAGTACTTTGGTCACATAATGAGAAGAAAGAAAAGCTTAGAGAACACAATTATGCTGGGGAAAATGGAAGGAAAAAGGAAGAGGGGCCAACCAAGGGCAAGATCGATGGATGGTATCCTTGAAGTGACTGGATTGACCTTGAAAGAACTGGGAGTGGTGACGACCGACAGGGAGCTCTGGCGTAGGCTGGTCCATAAAGTCACAAAGAGTCGGAAACAACTTAACGAATGAACAACAACAAAAACAACAAGTTTTTGTTATGTTCATCGATCTCGAGGACATCAGACAAGCCCCAACGCTGGCTGTCTTTAGGAAGAGTCTGAAGATCTGGCTGTTCCAGTGTGCCTTTCCAGAATAGGAAACTCCTGGCATCAAGTCCCAAATGCACTTTGTTAGAGATTCAGGATTATTTGCACATTGCACCTACCCCCAAATACCTCTACATATCACTTGTCAAGTCCAGCACTTTTAAATTTTGTCTATTACACTTGGCCTGGCCCTTGGTTTTAAATGCGTCACTGTGTCATTGTTTTTATTGTTCCTAAATCTTTGCTTGATGTTTTTATTTGCTTATGACTTTATTGTGTATGTGTATGTTATTGTTGTTGGCGGTCTTGGCCTTTGTAAGCCGCATCGAGTCCTTCGGGAGATTTTGCGGGGTATAAATAAAGTTAATAATAATAATAATATTTCAGTTTTACTTTCCATGTTTTCTCCCAGTCATCTAGCTGAATTGTTATTCTTCTTGTTGTTATTATTATTGGTTTCTTTTTATTCTTCTTATTCAATAAGAAGCCAGACCTTGAAACTGCAAGGTCATTAAATGCTAATCAAGGTGGCCAACAGCAACATTCACACCTACCTCAAACAGACGACAGTTCTATCTCTCACCCTGGACATTCCATAGATATATCCCAACAGACCTCACAACCTCTGAGGATGCCTGCCATAGATGCAGGCGAAACATCAAGAAAGAATGCTTCTGGAACATGGCCATACAGCCCGGAAAACTCACAACAACCCAATAAAGCAGTGGTTCTTAACCTTCCTAATGCCCCGACCCCTTAATGCAGTTCCTCATGTTGTGGTGACCCCCCCCCCCCCCAAACACAACATTATTTTCATTGCTACTTCATAACTGTAATTTTGCTGTTATGAATCATAATGTAAATATCTGATATGCAGGATGTATTTTCATTCATTGGACCAAATTTGGCACAAATACCCGATATGCCCAAATTTGAATACTGGTGGGGTTGGGGGGTTGATTTTGTCATTTGGGAGTTATAGTTGCTGGGATTTATGGTTCATTTAAATTAAAAGAGCATTCTGAACTCCACTGACGATGCAATTGAACCAGATTTGGCACACATTACTCCCATGACCAACAGAAAATACTGGAAGGGTTTGGTGAGCATTGACCTTGAGTTTGGGGACTGTAGTTCACCTACATCCAGAGCACACTGTGGACTCAAACAGTGATAAATCTGAACCAAACTTGGCATGAATACTCCATATGCTCAAATGTGAACACTGATGGAGTTTGGGGAAAAGAGACCTTGACATTTGGGAGTTGTAGTTGCTGGAATTTATAGCTCACCTGCAATCAAAGAGCATTCTGAAGCCCACCAATGATACAATTTGGCCAAACTCCCACACAGAACCCTCATGACCAACAGAATATACTGTGTTTTCCAATGGTCTTTGGGGACCCCTCTGACTCCCCCTCATGACCCCCCCAGGGGTCCCGACCCCCAGGTTGAGAAACACTGCAATAAAGGTTATGGTGCAGAATCATACCACCTACTAAAAATGTACAAGATAAAAATAAAAACTTGAAACTTAAAAGAGATAAATCCACAACAACCCAGGATTTATATTATGAGAAAGAGCACTCTTTGCACTTATCTGGAGCAGCTCCTGGGAGAGATCAAAGACTATGAACTTTTGTAGTGTTTTTCTATGCTTGTCTTTTGATTTTTTTTATTATTATGATTGACTTAGTGAACAATATCCACTTGGCTGATGAATCATATAATTGCATCAGAGATGGAAGTCAATGTAATGGGTGCTTCCTTTCTAGAATTTGCATCTACACTTAAAAGATGAGTTTAAGGCACGATGCAAAGCCAACTGGTTCAAGATTGGGAAAGGCGTACGGCAAGGCTGCATACTCTCACCCAACCTTTTTAACTTGTATGCAGAACACATCATGCGATGTGCAGGGCTTGAGGAATGCAAAGCTGGGGTGAAAATTGCTGGAAGAAACATTAACAACCTCAGATATGCAGATGACACCACTCTGATGGCCGAAAGCGAGGAGGAGCTGAGGAGCCTTCTAATCAAGGTGAAAGAAGAAAGTGCAAAAGCTGGGTTGCAGCTAAACATAAAAAAAAACAAGATTATGGCAACAAGAATGATTGAAAACTGGGAAATAGAGGGAGAAAATGTGGAGGCTGTGACAGACTTTGTATTTCTAGGCGCAAAGATTAATGCAGATGCAGACTGTGGCCAGGAAATCAGAAGACACTTACTTCTTGGGAGGAGAGCAATGTCCAGTCCCGATAAAATAGTAAAGAGTAGAGACATCAGACTGGCAACAAAGATCCGCCTAGTCAAAGCCATGGTATTCCCTGTAGTAACCTACGGATGTGAGAGCTGGACCTTAGGGAAGGCTGAGCGAAGGAAGATCGATGCTTTTGAGCTGTGGTGTTGGAGGAAAGTTCTGCGAGTGCCTTGGACTGCGAGAAGATCCAACCAGTCCATCCTCCAGGAAATAAAGCCCAACTGCTCACTGGAGGGAAGGATACTAGAGACAAAGTTGAAGTACTTTGGCCACATCATGAGGAGGCAGCAAAGCCTAGAGAAGACAATGATGCTGGGGAAAGTGGAAGGCAAAAGGAAGAGGGGCCGACCAAGGGCAAGATGGATGGATGGCATCCTTGAAGTGACTGGACTGACCTTGAAGGAGCTGGGGGTGGTGACGGCCGACAGGGAGCTCTGGCGTGGACTGGTCCATGAGGTCACGAAGAGTCGGAGACGACTGAACGAATGAACAACAACAACGGTTCCGGCCCAAGATACCTAACTGACCGCCTCTCGGCCTATGAGCCCACGAGGACTTTGAGATCTTCCGGGGAGGCCCTGCTCTCGATCCTGCCTGCGTCACAGGCACATCTGGCAGGGACGAGAGATAGGGCCTTCTCGGTGGTGGCTCCTCGGCTGTGGAACACCCTTCCCGTGGACATCAGGTTAGCTCCCTCCCTGTTGATATTCCGCAGGAAGTTAAAGACCTGGCTATTTAAGAAGGCATTTGATCAAGAAGTGCAATGACTGGTAATTTGACCATAGGAATGGAACAACGGAAATGATATCGGATTGTGGGTTTGACGATGAGACGACTCGGAATGGTTTTGTAGTAATGTTGATGTTTTGATTAGATGTTTTCTGATAATGTTGAATTGTGGATTATTTTACACTATGTTTTGTATTTTGCACCTGTTTCTCTATGTTGTACACCGCAATGAGTCGCCCTAGGGCTGAGAATTGCGGTATATAAGCGCAGTAAATAAATAAATAAATAAACAAGCAAAGCCAACATTGAAATGTGGGCATAGAATACTTCGATGCAGTTCTAAAAAATTCCAGTGCAGCTTCCAGCAATCAGATATGGCAGCTGGAATACATACATGCTGTGCATCTGCTTATAATGTATTTTGAGAGGCAAAATGTGTACAGGACTGCAGGTTTTGGTTTTTTTTTGGTCGTGTCAGGAGCAACCGCTCCTGTTGTGAAAGAATTGGCCGTCTGCAAGGACGTTGCCCAGGGGACGCCTGGATGATTTTTGATCTTTTATCATCCTTGTGGGAGGCTTCTCTCATGTCCCCGCATGAGGAGCTGGAGCTAATAGAGGGAGCTCATCCGCCTCTCCCCGGATTCGAACCTGCGACCTGTCAGTCTTCAGTCCTACCGGCACAGTGCTTTAACCCACTGCGCCACCGGGGGCTCCTGGTAAATGGGCAGGTTTTGGTAAATGGGCACCACTCGGAGCAATTCTGCATGTGGCCCACTACCCTGGGAGCTGCTGCTAACTCTTAGGCTCTCAGGGCCTATGGGATAATTAGAAAAACAGCTCCAACTTCTGTGCAGCTGATGAATGAGGCAGGTACTTATATTCTTGTTCCTTAGGCGAGTGCCCAAACCCAAGGTATATATAGTGGAGGCATTCCCTGGATAATAACTGGCTTGAACCCTGGTGTTAAGGTTGCTGAGGCTGTAGTGCTACTTTAGCCCTGTGAGACTCCCTGGGGTCATGATGAGGATCTCTCTCACTCTGCTTGAAGTGACTGGACTGACCTTGAAGGACCTGGGGGTAGTGACAGCCGACAGGGAGCTCTGGCGTGGGCTGGTCCATGAGGTCACGAAGAGTCGGAGACGACTGAACGAATGAACAACAACAAGCAAAGCCAGCATTGAAATGTGGGCATAGAATACTTTGATGCAGTTCTAAAAAATTCCAGCAATCAGATATGGCAGCTGGAATACATGCTGTGCATCTGCTTATAATGCATTTTGAGAGGCAAAATGTGTACAGGACTGCAGGTTTTGGTAAATGGGCACCACTCGGAGCAACTCTGCATGTGGCCCACTACCCTGGGAGCTGCTGCTAACTCTTAGGCTCTCAGAGCCTATGGGATAATTAGAAAGACAGCTCCAACTTTGAGTTTGTCTTGCAATGAAAACAGAGCAGCCGGCCATGACAGTTCGAAACGACGTCACGCAAAGGCCCCGCCCCCTCCGCCCCTTCCCTCACAGCAGGCCTTTTCCTTCACCCTCTTTCGGCCGCCATTACCATTTTCTTGCTCTCGGCACCGCCTCGACTCCCCTGCCGCGCCATCTCGACGGTTGAGAAGAACCAAGCCCCGTCGCCTGGAACCAGAAGCCTTGGAGTCAAAAGGAAGAGGAAGGAGCCGCCCCTCTTCGCTTACGGAGCATGCGCCGCTTTCATTTCTCCCTCAGGAGAGAACGACAAGCCCCGCCCCGCGGCATGCCGGGAGCTTCATTGGACGTTAGGGAAGCATCCTTCCCGACTCGCGAGCGTCACGACGCCGCGCTAAGCTTCCCGGCGTGCAGCCGCGATGACGTCATGACATAGCTCAAGTGCTTCCTAGAATCCTAGAGCTGGAAGAGACCTCATGGGCCATCCAGTCCAACCCCCTGCCCAAAAGCAGGAATATTGCATTCAAAGCACCCCTTATTTATATATTTATCGTGTCAGGGCAGCCAGTCAATTATGTTACATTTCTAACAGAACAAAGCTAACAAACAGACAAAATACAAAATTTGTGAGTTTGGTAGTTGATTAAATGTCCTTTGACTAGTATCTGTCCACTTGGAGTGCTTCTAAATGCTAAGGACGTGAATCACAAAATCGATTTAGTTTATGGAGAGGACATAATGTCAAGCAATATAACGTCAAGCAATATAATGTCTCCAGCAAAGGATCACTGCCTTGTCGGGGCGCTGGAGCTTGAGCACCTCAATGATGTCATGAGCGAAACCGTGAAGGGCCACCCAAGACGGGACGATCGTGGCAGAGAGGTCAGACCAAGCGTGATCCCTGGGGAAGGCGATGGCAAACCACTCCAGTATCCTTGCCAAGAAAACTAAATGGACCAGTACAACCAGAGATATGTTGACCTTGAAGGAGCTGGGGGTGGTGACGGCCGACAGGGTGGTCACGAAGAGTCGGAGACGACTGAACGAATGAACAACAACATGTCAAGACAGCATGTGACAAAATGAGTATGGAATATATTGTGAGACACGAAGAAACTTGGCAGAGCCATCCAAAACAAACATTGTGGGATGCTGACGGCGGGAGTCTGTCTCCTTCATGACAATGCGTGTCCGCACACCGCTCATGCAACACAAGAGCTGTTGAGTTCCTTTGGTCGGGATGTTTTAAGCCACCCCTCTCACAGCCCTGATCTCACACCCAGTGTCTGTCATCTATTCACTATATTGAAGGAACGCCTGGGTGGAAAACACTTTTCCGACAACACCATGAGGTAAAAATCTAAGTGACGAACTGGCTGAAAAAGGTGGAGGGAAATTTCTATGACACAGGCATCAAAAACTGGTCCCATGGATGGCAAAATGTATTGAACTGGGTGGTATTTATTTATCGTGTCAGGGGCAACCAGACAATTGTATTACGTTTCTAACAGAACAAAACAAACAAACAGATAAAAAACCCACAAAGTTTGCAAGCTTGGTAGTTGATTAAATGTCCTTTGACCAGTATCTGGCCTCTGGTGTTGCCACAAGGAGGTCCTCCATTGTGCACGTAGCAGGGCTCAGGTTGCATTGCAGCAGGTGGTCAGTGGTTTGCTCTTCTTCACACTCGCATGTCGTGGATTCCACTTTGTGGCCCCATTTCTGAAGGTTGGCTCTGCATCTCGTGGTGCCAGAGCACAGTCTGTTCAGCGCCTTCCAAGTCGGCCAGTTTTCTGTGTGCTCAGGGGGGAGTGTCTCATTTGGTATCAGCCATTGATTGAGGCTCTGGGTTTGAGCCTGCCACTTTTGGACTCTCGCTTGCTGAGGTGTTCCATCGAGTGTCTCTGTAGATCAGGGGTCCTCAAACTTAGGCCCGGGGGCCAGATGCGGCCCTCCAAGGTCATTTACCCGGCCCTTGCTCAGGGTCAACCTAAGTCTGAAACGACTTGAAAGCACACAACAACAATCCTATCTCATCAGCCAAAAGTAGGCCCACATTTCCCATTGTAATACTAATAATTTTTTATTTGTTGAAATTGTTCTTCATTTTAATTATTGTATTGTTTTAAGTGTTTTTTGCACTACAAATAAGATCTGTACAGACTGCATAGGAATTCATTCATTTTTTTTCAAATTATAATCCGGCCCTCCAACAATTTGAGGGACTGTGACCTGGCCTTCTGTTTAAAAAGTTTGTGGACCCCTGCTGTAGATCTTAGAAAACTATTTCTTGATTTAAGTAATTGACATGCTGGCTGATACCCAAACAAGGGATGAGCTGGAGATGTCACTGCCTTGGTCCTTTCACTATTGGCTGCAACTTCCCGGCGGATGTCAGGTGGTGCAATACCGGCTAAACAGTGTAATTTCTCCAGTGGTGTAGGGTGCAGACACCCCGTGATAATGCGGCATGTCTCATTAAGAGCCACATCCACTGTTTTAGTGTGGTGAGATGTGTTCCACACTGGGCATGCGTACTCAGCAGCCGAGTAGCATAGCGCAAGGGCGGATGTCTTCACTGTGTCTGGTTGTGATCCCCAGGTTGTGCCAGTCAGCTTTTGTATGATATTGTTTCTAGCACCCACTTTTTGCTTGATGTTCAGGCAGTGCTTCTTGTAGGTCAGAGCACGGTCCAGAGTGACTCCCAGGTATTTGGGTGCTGCAATGCTCCAGTGGGATTCCTTCCCAGGTAATCCTCAGAGCTCGGGATGCTTGTCTGTTCTTAAGGTGAAAGGGACATGTCTGTGTTTTAGATGGATTACATATACATGGCAAACATTCAATACCATAGACCAGGGGTAGGGAACCTTTGGCCCTCCAGCTGTGGTGGACTTCAACTCCCACAATTCCTTGAGGCTGCATTGGGCCAAGGTAAGCCTTTGGGGCGAATGCCGAGCCTCAAGGAATTGTGGGAGTTGAAGTCCACCACAGCTGGAGGGCCAAAGGTTCCCTACCCCTGACCTAGAGCTTCGGAGAGCTTCTGTTCAACCATCTCAAAGCTCCCTGCTTGAGCAGTAATGGCACGATCATCAGCATAGATGAAACTCTCTGTCCCTTCTGGCAGTGGCTGGTCATTTGTGTAGATGTTGAACATGGATGGAGCAAGCACGCTCCCCTGAGGCAGGCCGTTCTTCTGTTTCCGCCATCTGCTTCTCTGGCCCTGGAACTCAACAAAAAAGCTCCTGTTTTGTAGCAGGTTTCCTATGAGGCGGGTGAGGTGGTAGTCCTTTGTGATATTATGCATTTTTCTCAGGAAGAGGTGGTGGTTTACAGTAGTTTAAATCTTCTCCCCTTCATTTTTTCTTTCCTTGATTTCCCCCATTCACAGCAGGGGTCCACAAACTTTTTAAACAGAGGGCCAGGTCACAGTCCCTCAAACTGTTGGGGCTGGATTTTAATTTGAAAAAAAAAACGAATGAATTCCTATGCACGCTGCACGTATCTTGTTTGTAGGAAACTGAGGAAGGAAAGAAAGTCACAAAGAAAATACATAATCAGGCATTACTGAGTATATCCTCCCCACCATATATGTAGCATATAGTATATTTATGACACTACTAGCTGTCCCCTGCCACGCATTGCTGTGGCCCAGTCTGGTGATCTAGAAAATAAAGTAATGAGAAAGTGTTGGTTTCTAATATATATAATTTCTTTATGCTTGTGGGTAAACAGTATTTCTTGTTGTTTCTTTGTCAGCGTTGATGTGGAGATGGTCTGGTTTGCCTACTCTGGAATATGCAACATATAATTGTCCTTCTTTAGGGGTCCCTTTCAAATCTATGATACTATATTTCTCTCTGTGTGTGAATCATAACTATCTATCTATATCTATGGCTGGATGGCTCTTTGTCTGGAGGGCTCTGATTACATTTTCTTGCCCTGGTGAACAGAGTTGGACTGGATGACCTTAAGTATTTTCTGTTGGTCATGAGGGTTCTGTGTGGGAAATTTGCCCCAATTCTGTCGTTTGTGGGATTCAGAATGCTCTTTGATTGTAGGTGAACTATAAATCCCAGTAACTCCCAAATGTCAAGGTCTATTTCCCCCAAACTCCATCTGTGTTCATATTTGGGCATATGGAATATTTGTGCCAAGTTTGGTCCAGATCCATCATTGTTTGAGTCCACAGTGCTCTCTGGATGTAGGTGAACTACAACTCCCAAACTCAAGATCAATGCCCACCAAACCCTTTCAGGATTTTCTGTTGGTCACGGGAGTCCTGTGTGCCACGTTTGGTTCAATGTCATAATTGGTAGTGTTCAGAATGCTCTTTGATTGTAGGTGAACTATAACTAGCTCTTTGATTGTAGGTGCAGCTACAACTCCCAAATGACAAAATCAAAACATTTAGAGTGAAGGACATACATTGGGTTGTTAGGTCTATGCTGTCCAAATTTGGTGTCAATTGGCTCACTGGTTTTTGAGTTCTGTTAATCCCACAAACGAACATTACATTTTTATTCATAAAGATGTAATAAAATTTGAAAAAATCTGTTCGTGGTTTGAAAGTGTTATTTCCTGTTTAAATGTGCAGTTCTTACTTTGAAAATAGTTGTACTCCAGAAACTTCATTTTTGTGGCTGCCATTTTTAACCTTTCATCTGCCATTTTTAACTTTTTGTGACAACTGCAAAAACAAAGTGTTTGCAGTTTAATAAATCTTTTCCATGCTTTTATGACAGATCCAATAAGGAAATGATATTTATAACCCGGAAACAAAAGTCATGTTACATAGTGTTATTATTATTACTATTATTATATACCTGGTGCTGCCCAGGTTTCCGAAGGGCTATTGCTACCCCGATGGTTTTCGTTGTCTCAACTGTGGTTTTGACAGAAGTTTGAGTCAATGGAAACCAAAAGGATGTAAGGGCTTTCACGTCATACCAAGAATAACAGGATCTCATGTACTTCAGAATATCAAGGAGCCAATCCAGGAGAGAAAGAATCCATACAGACTGTGCAGTTACGCCCAGACGCTTTAAAATAAAACTTTGACGTGCTGCTATCTATGTCTGGGCGAAACTTCTGGGGTCTTTCTTTAGGCAGATTGAGCTTTCTTGAATAACTGAGTCCACTTCAAGAAACATTAAACAGGGTATTTATTCACGAAGTCCTGGTAGACTTGGCTCAGCTTATCAATATTACAAAACAATCAATGAGTAATAAACTCCATCTATATTAATAAATTCTATCTATATTCAATTGTTCCCTATCTATGACTCAATTAAACTCAATTACTCAATCTATCTATCTATTATCTATAGGTCTCAATTAAACTAAATTACTCAATAAATCTATC